GGAGGTGGGGGAGGGGGGGGGGGGGGCACAAGACACTAAAATGACTGACAGTTATCTTGGTGTCACCCCCTCTGAAAATTCGGGCACTTGGTTACAGACCAAGAGCCCTACAGTTTCAGGACAGAGGAGGGGAGCCGGTGGTATACCTTATCCCGTCGGGTAAACGTCCCCTCCCTGTCACCTGATATCGGCCCTGGGTGACACCCGGTCTCGGGATGCCCCTGTTGTGAGGGTCCCCTTTGGGTACTCTGGTTTCCTCCCTCTTCTCCCTGTGCTTACGTGGGTTTCCTCTGGGTACTCTGGTTTCCTCCCTCTTCTCCCTGTGCTTACGTGGGTATCCTCTGGGTAGTCTGGTTTCCTCCCTCTTCTCCCTGTACTTACGTGGGTTTCCTCTGGGTACTCTGGTTGTCTCCCTCTTCTCCCTGTGCTTACGTGGGTTTCCTCTGGGTACTCTGGTTGTCTCCCTCTTCTCCCTGTGCTTACGTGGGTTTCCTCTGGGTACTCTGGTTTCCTCCCTCTTCCCCTGTGCTTACATGGGTATCCTCTGGGTAGTCTGGTTGTCTCCCTCTTCTCCCTGTGCTTACGTGGGTATCCTCTGGGTAGTCTGGTTTCCTCCCTCTTCTCCCTGTACTTACGTGGGTTTCCTCTGGGTACTCTGGTTTCCTCCCTCTTCTCCCTATGCTTACATGGGTAACCTCTGGGTACCTCCCTCTTCCCCCTGTGCTTATGTGCGTTTCCTCTGGGTACTCTGGTTTCCTCCCTCTTCTCCCTGTGCTTACATGGGTATCCTCTGGGTACTCTGGTTGTCTCCTTGTGCTTACGTGGGTCTCCCCTGGGTACTCTGGTTTCCTCCCACGCTCCAAAGGCATGTTGGACGGTTAATTGGCTCCTGTCTAAATTGGCCTTATGTGCGTGTACAATAGGGACCTTAGATCATCACCTCCTCGAGGGCAGGGACCGATATGAACGTGTAGTGTGTAAAGCGCTGTGTGAATTGTTGGCGCTATATAAATCCTTGTAATAATAAATAAATACAGCTTTGTGTAGTTTAGCCCCTTAATATCAGTGAACAAAAAGTTGCCATTTGATACAAATAAAATCTGTGCTCAGAGAAATGTGCAGGCAACCACTGGTGACCGCCTCCCGAAAAATAGGATTTTTTTTGTTCTCACCATAAAATCCTGTTCTCAGTGTCCAGTGGAGGACACAGTTTTGCTTCAGATAATCCCCTAATGGTATAGTGTCACCTGCAGGAGGAGCACTCTAGGTACAGCAAAAAATAAAAGAAGAAACAGCCCGGGGGTAATCCCTGTTGCAGGCCAAGACCCCCAACAATGTGGAAGAAGCTCAGTGCAAAAGAACACAGAGAAAAGGATTTTATGGTGAGACCAAATTCTCTTTACTTCATTGGAGGACACAGTTCTGCTTTAGATAATCACTCATTGGGATGTCCAAAAGCATTGCCACCACAGGGTGGGAAAAATTAAAATGGAAAACCAGATGAAAACGGTACGGACAAGTCAGACTTCCACCTTCAAAATCTGGAATCAGCTGATGCTGCCACATTCACCTTGTAAAACCTGCTGAATGTATGAACTGGCAATCACGTGGGTGCCTTGCAAATCTGAAAAATTGATGCTTCATGGCAGTGAGCCTAGAATGCACTCAGCGATCTTGTAGAGTGCGCTGTAACCAGGAAAGGGAACTTCAACCAGGAAAAGGGAATCTGACCTAAAAAGCCAGACGTGGCATTCAAACACACGCAACTGTCCTGACTACATCTAAAGAACATTAAGGCAATTTCCTTCAGTTCAACTAAAAGAGAGGCCGATTGGTTGCCATGGGCAACTGCTCCAGATTCGGGCTGCTCCAGTTTTCATAAATTGCCCCCCATGTCTTCATTCAAATGCAAGGCTGATACCACTTTAAAGGAAAGAGTCTTGGATGCAGGATAACTTTACCTTATAAAGGACTACAAATGGAGGCTTGCAAGACAATGCCACCAGCTCTCAGGTTCTACATATCGAAGTGATGGCAACACCTTCTGAGAGAGTGTTAGCCACTGAATCTCCCTAATATCCCTGGAAGGTGGTTATTATAACACCAACAAAACCAGGTTAAGGTCCCATGTCAACAATGGTGGCACAACCAAAGTGATGAGGTGCATTACACCATGGAGAAACATGTGGACAAGTGCAGCGATGCCAGAGGTTGCTTAAATAAGACTGTCAGAGCTGGCAACTAACCCCTAAAAGGTGCACAAGGCCAATTGCTGCACCACCCCACGCTGGACGAAGGCCAGGAGATACTTCTAGTGTGGCTCCATAGACATCTGGCATTGCCCATTGAAGGAAGATTTTTTGAAAGGCCCCTGTGATGCGGACGCTCTCCGTTGAAAAAGGTTTGTATAAGGTAGAGAGGGCAAGTCATCCAATTTCCTACCCCTAATATATGTACTGTAGACAGAGCCGGCTCATGACTCTCTGCCCAACGCAAGATGTGGGATCCTTCCACTGCTGCTGCCACTCTCTTGGTCCCTCCCTGATGATCTATATCAAAGGAAGTCAAACTCCGGCCCTCCAGCTGTGGTGAACTTAATAATCGGCTAACTAATCGATTTTGAAAATAATCGTTAGCTGCAGCTCTAGGTGAAACTATCATTCCCATGATGCTTCTCTCTCCGGGAGTCATGTCTGTGGCAGTGAGAATCTTGCCATGCCTCATGGGATTTGAAGTTGCACCACAGCACATTAAAAGGGAAGCAGGGACTCCTCAAGACTCCAAATACCCAGAGTGGACCAGAGGCCCAGTTCTCCTCCCCAGCCCTGCAAGCTGGTGTATGACATTATTGTGTTCCAGCTAAGAGGGAGAAAACTTCCTGGCTAGCAGCAGAGGAGAGGGGAGCCAACAAATTAGAGATGGCTTCCTCTACTGACTTACCAAGATCTCACTGTCCAGAGACAGAGGTGACCTGTTCCGCTGCAACTGGATCTCACCCTGTAATGTCCTGCTGTGAGAGTTCTTGTTGAAGACTGATGCCATGAGACCCAAAACTGGCATGCAGTGGTAAATTGACGAACACCTGTGAGTATACACCAGTCAAACCTGAAGATGTATTCCTGCAGTTTTCCCTGACAAGATGAACTCCTTGGCCTGGCTGATATCCAAGATCAGTCCCAGATATGCCAGGCAAAGTGATGGAGCCAGCAAAGACTTCCCCTCTCATTAGGGAGATTTTCCTTTATTTCCTGTCCTGTAGACTCAACAGGAAGTGAGAGGATATCTTTCCAATGTGAGGGAGATCTCCTCTTAGACAGCTGTCAATGCACAAATGTCCACCTATTGGAAGATGTTGCCTCTAATCCTGCCCTGGCGACAAACCAAAATGTTGGATTTACCCTCAATCCCCTTCCCGTGACATTGGTGATCAGGGACTTACCCTAGTGTACAGTACAATCTACACTCCAGACCTCTACTATACAGTATACACCCTGCCACTGTCTAATGCCCCCTCCCCCTTGAACTACATTGATAATTACTGACCTTTTGCTAGTAATATACACAGATAAATCTGCAGTCACATAAATACATAAGCTGCCAGCTAGTGTAGAGACACATCCAGACAAGTATACACAAAGTGATCCAGGTCCACACTGACCAGGCCTAGCTGGAATACCCCGCACCTATCAAGTACCTGGGGAACTACAAGTCTCAGCAGGCCATCCCAAGAGCTGTCAGGACATGCTGATCCTTATATGCCCCCCCTATAGGAAGCAGCGACAGGCCCTGTGTTTGTGAGAGCTGAGCTCACCTCATCTAGATCCTCGTCCTGCTCAGAATCCTCATCCTCACTGATGTCAGAGTCGTCATCCTCTTCGTCCCCCGCCATCGCCTCATCCTCCACGGCTCTCCTCTTCGCGCTGGATGCCATGCTGTCTCCTTCCTTCAGGCCCGGCGTGCATGTGGCGGAAGTAAATAGGAAGTGCCTTGGACGCTACCATCTTATGGCTGGGGGGTGTTCCTGGAGCCCGGACGGGCTTATCTGCTCGGCTTCTCTGTGTCCTCTACACTTCCGGTATAATAAAATAATAACGGGTTGATAAATCATTCCGAGGTACAGAGCTGGTCTTATATCCGGATAGGACGAGGGCTGTCCTGGTAATAGAGATCGCGGCCACCCCCGTGTGATAGACATAAGGAGGCCGTGTCATGTCCGCTGTATGGTGAGTGGGCAGGCTGGTTACGTTGTATCTCCTGATAGAACTTCATATATTTATCTCTATACATTGTATCCGTACAAAAGGGGCGGAGCTGACTGCAGTTCATTGTTACTTAAAGTGACCCAGTCATAAGAGAAGTACAGGGGCTGCCATTGCTGGCCACCTGTAAATGTTAAAGAGAACCTGTCACTAGAGATGAGCCTGAGTTTGGTGTGAACCCAGCTCACCTAAGCCTGCTCAAAACTCTGACTGCCACCCCCTCCCGTGCCAGTCAGATGCAGACAGGTGCATT